ATGAAAACGATCGTACGTGGCGATCCGTGAAGCTTGTGGATCCGATTATACAAGAAATATGCAAGTGCGATCGAGAACATTGAGATTTTATTTGCAGCAAAAACTCTTGCCGTTTTAATACAGAAGATCACGGTTGCGTTTGCTGCGCATGGACGTGCGGAACAAATAAAAAATTGTATAAAAATACGAGCGAAAAGCTTAAGATTAAAGTACGAGAATAAAATAAAATAACATATGTGAGAGGAAGAAGAAGAGTGACAAAGAGATCGATACACCTCATTATTAACTCTCCGTGATCATTATTATTGTGCACGTTTGGCAGGGGTGGCGACAGGACCACGATAGGGGAAGAGATTAAATTGGAGATATTTTCTCGGATCGAAAATGCGATTTTTCCCGGTTTCTCATCGTTCTTACTGTGTGATCGTGAAACTTTGTAGTTTTGAAACGCTGCGAGTTCGTTCGTTTCCCGAAAAATCTGTTCTCTTCGGCTAACGTCCATTGAGATCGGGGTGGACAATGGACACATACACGTGAACCTATAAATCTCGCATTGTGCTGCCACTAATATTTAGCAGTCCACATATTAACCTAGGGGTGAGAGGTCATGCACCCGGCCATTGTCCAATGTCTGACCCCTCTCGTAGCTGACCACCGATTTCTTATTTACGAATACGCGATTCGCTCATGATCGATCTTACATGGCACGATGCAGAATTTGAAATTTGTGATGAAATTCGTTTGACCGAATAAATCTTTGAACATTCTGCAAATCTTGTGTGAAAGAAAAAAGTTATGGACGTTACATGAAACGTTAATAAAAGTTTGAATCAAAGGATCTGTTTATTCTGATCATTTTATATGAAACTAAAATTAATTCTTCCTTTGTAATAAATCTTGTAATAAATCTTTTTTATATGTTAAATTATAATCCCTTCTAGGAAAGAAACGATTTTGCTGGAGGAATTAAAAATTTGGCTCGATACAGCATCGATCGGAAAATAATTTTGTTGGACTCAAAATAATTACATGTTATTTAAATATGATAATACTGCCAAAATTTTGTATTCTAGCAATTTGAACGTTATACATAATAATTTTAAAGGATTAAGAAAATTATTTTATATATTTGGCCAATTTATCATGTTTAAACGTCATATATAATAATTTTCCATGGTCCATCCGATCATTTATAATATCTGATCATTTAGATCTGAAATTTATAGAAATTTGACAGCAAAACTATTTCCTCCATAGACGATGCCCAGTTCTATTATGTCCAAGAAATCTTGCTTTTTTTTGAAAGAAACTTAAGTAAAGAGTGAGAAAACGAAACTTAGTAAAGAGTGAGAGAGACATGATGAGGAATGGGCAAGAAAAACGAATGAATGGTCCAGAAATATTGGGAAAATCAGGGATCAATTCCGGAAAATCCAAAATCTGGACATTAACCTGGTTAAACGTGCGGTGGCTTGACCGATTGTCATGTACTTTAGAAATCGCGATACTTTTATTCTAATAAAAAAAATACAGTGAAATAAGCAAAAGAAAAAAGCATTTAGATATAAAATTTAATTGAATAAACAAGTGTTAACAATTATGGATATCAAGTGTTAGGAGTATAATTAAGAAAGCCACTTTTTATTAGATCAAGTGTCCGTGTGTGTGTCATGCGCGCGCGCATGTGTATGTGTG